ATGGAATATTACTCAGCCATAAAGAGCGAGAGAATAGATTCATTCATAGGAAAATGGATACATATTGAAGATATACTCCTAAGTGAAATAAATAAGTCACACATGTGTAAATACCAAATAGTTTCCCTGGTGTGAATATTCTGCAACAATGCATAAGATTCTAATAAGATTACTGACATTTAGAAATTTGAAGAAAGGAGCTAAAGGTGTAGGGAAGGTGTGATGCATAGGGGAAGAACAAAAAGGGAAAAGAAAAACATGTGAGAGAATGAAAAGAGGAAAATAAAGTGTTTGTAGATGGGGAGGGGAGGAGGGGGTGAAGGGAGGGCAGAGGTAAGGGGAAGAAATGAGAATCAAGACTTGCCATGTAAAGGTACATGATCCCAACAATGAATGTAACTGTACTGTATCCCTAAAATGTACCAATAAACTCAATAAAAATTAAATTAAAAAAAAGATAATTGGGAAAGAAAATACCAAGAGTCCTACTTCAGTTATGAGTTCATTGCAACAGATGATTCACTCTCCAAGCCTACTTTATATAAATATGTCAATCAACTACCAGTCGTGAAACCTTCAAAACTGCTTTGCCACATGGAGACCAAGCTTCACTAAAAGACAAGGATTTTCAAAAGAAAAGCCATGAACATGAAGAACAGAATCAATTACTAACAGTTACTCTTTCATCAAATGTATCTGCACTGTGAGCATCATTCTGTGTGGCTAACCTCTTTGTTAAAGCTAAAAGGCCCTTTACTATGGGTGAAGAGCTGATCTTGCCTGCTATTAAGGATGCATCTCATGAATTTTTAAGAAAAATTGAAGTTCAAAAGGTGGCACATGCTCCTCTTTCAACTAGCACCAAAACTAGACAAACTGATGAAATAACAGAGGATATTGAGGCACACTTGTTAGAGAGGAATAAGGAATCTCCATTGTACACAACCCAGATTGACAAATCTACCAGTGCTGACAACAAGGCCATAATGCCTGTTTTTGTGCAACATGTGTTTCAGGAAAATATCTATGAGGATATGTTGGGTGTACTTTTGATGACAACCAACACTACGGCTGCAGAACTATTCAAGTCTTTGGATGATGTATCAGCAAACCTGTATCAGTCACTTTGTGTCAGTAAATGCACAGACAGTGGTTGCCATGACTGCACAGATTTCGTTTCACTACTTAGGGCAAATGGATTGATTCTGAATGTGAGTCTGCACATTTTGTCATCTGTAGAGAAATGTTAGCTAGCCAAAAAAATGTCATCTGAATTTAACAACATTTTGCAGGTTGTGATTAAAATTATGAACCACATTAAAGTAGATGACCTGTGAGAGGGTTGTAGAACATACACAACTCTTATACACAGAAGTAAGATAGCTTCCTAAAGGTAGGTCACTGGCCAGACTTTTTGAGCTATAAGAGCTGCTCCAGTGGTTTCTTTCAGGAAAATAGTTGCTTCTTGCAGGGTAACATAGAGACAAAAATTGAATTGCAAAATTTACTTATTGATGTGATATATTCCACCAGCTCAACAAAGGAGTTACTTTAGAGGAGAATGTCAACTGTGTTCAAGTCATCAGATAAAATGGCTTTATTCAAAGCCAGAGTAAAATGATGTGGGCATTGAGTGAACATTAGGATTTTTGACAACTTTCAAACATTAGGAGAAATTTTAAAAGGGACAGACCCGGGCCTTCTTTCTTTCAGCTGGTGCATGATCATCTATCTCAAATTTCAAGGCTTTGAGAATTACTTCCCAACAACAGAAGACCCCCACACTGGGAATGAATGGACCTGCTACCCATTTGTGAATAAGCCAGATGACTGGCTTTGTCCATGCTAGAAGAAGATTAGCTGCTTGGGATGAAAATGACAATGACCTTAAAAGTATGTTTGAGACAATTTTAAACCTCCATATACTCTGAATTAAAGTAAAGGCAGAATATTCTGATATCGCCACAAAAGTACTAAAAAAAACCTGCTTTGGCTTCCAACCTCTTATCTCTGTAAAGCAAAATTCTTGCTGTGACAGCAACCAAACTGAGATTATACAGCAGATTGGACGTAAGTAACACACTGTGAATGTCACTGTCTCCCATCATCCCAGATGGGAATATCTAGTTGCAAAAAAAAACAACCTCAAAGTTCCCATGGATTCCTGCATTATGGCAAGTTGTATACTTATTTTATTGTGCATTACAATGTAATTATGATATAAATAAAATGCACAATAAATTTAATGTGCTTGAATCATCCAGAAACCATTTCCTTCTCCTCCCATCCATGAAAAAATTGTCTTCCATGAAACCAGTCCCTAGTGCCAAAAAGATTGAGGGCCACTGATTTAAAGTATAGTTGTGCACTGCATAATGCCATTTTGGTAAACAACAACTGGGATATATAAGGGTGGTCCTCTAGAATTATAATAGAGCTAAAAATTTTCTGTCGCCTAGTGACATCACACCATTATAATGTTATAGAAGCATACATTACTTATGCTTTTAGTGATGCTGGTACAATCACCTACCAAGCAGCCAATTCTGTACAATTGTATGCAATACATAACACTTAATAATGACAATAAAATACTGGTTAATGTATTTACTATATTTTTTTTCATTATTTTAGTGTGCTCCTACTTATTTTAAAAAGTTTACTGTGCAACAACATGCTATAATATATCAGCAGCAGCCTCATATATGTCATTTACTCCATCTCTTTATTGAATCATTTTCCCTTGTCTTCAGCTTAATCTTGTGTTGTTTTGTGCAGTGTTGCCTCTAAGCATGCAAAATCCACTGCCGATATTCTCACCCAGAGGCCATATGAAGTGATCAACCAGGAACTGAAGGAAAATCAGTGATGGTAACCATCACTGTGCTTCTGACTGCACCATGTCTGTGATTTTGAAGAAGTGGAAAGTGTTACAGGATCTCCATTCTTGAAGGCAATGAGACTAACAAAAATTCAAGAAGGGCCTTTATAAGATGTGAAGAAACTTCGAATGATCTGATCAAATACCAGACACAGAAGTATATCTCACACAATACCATAATGATCATAGCCAAAACATAAAGCTTATTTCAATGTTGAAAGAATAAAAGGCTGAATCCAACTGCAGGCTAGCCCCTCATGATTTAAATAAGCCACAAATCATTACTCATTACATAATGGGAAAATAAGTGGTGAATTAGCAAGTGCTGAGTGAAAGCACTTGAAGAATTTTTGAATACTCTGGATAAGCTGACTGTAGAGGAAACTGTGTTTCAAGATCAAATCTTCCATGTGGATAAAAGCTCCCCTGTTCTGGAAATGAATGCTTGAAAGGACTTCCACCTGTTAAAAAGACAAATAGGTGCCAGATTTCAAGACTTTGAAGGAATACATAACAGTCCTATTTGTGGGCAGTGTTACAGACTACCAATGGAAACCCTCTGTGATCTGGCCCAGTGAGAAGCCCAGAGCTTTCAAGCATATTAATAAGCACACATTGCCGAATCCTACAGGCACAAGAAGAGCTCACAGACAACCCAGGTTCTCCCATGAGGTCTCCTCCCATATCTCTGTGCTACAGAGAAGTACTGTTTGGAGAATAACATAGCTTTCTTGTTTATTACCCATAATGCTTCAGCAATTCTGTTTTTGTTGTTGATATTCATTCCAATATCTAAGTGGCATTTCTTCTTCTATCTACCTCCTCTCTGATTCAGCCTATGGAAGATCAAGGATCTGTTTTTTTTTTTTCTTTGTACAGGGGATCGAATTTGGGACTTTGTGCTTGCAAGGCAGGCGGCAGAACCACTGAGCTAAATCCTGGGCCCAGATCAAGGATCTGTTGCAGTCTTTTAAAGTCTACTACCCAACGATGACTTTTGCTCAGTGATTTCTCCAACTGAAGGAGAGGCTGCGAAGTAACTGTGCAATTTTGGAAGGATTTTGACATGTACAGTTCCATCAGAATGTCGGTGGATCTTGGGTAATACTACTGAGGTGGCATGTGCATTTGGAGGAAGACACTCTGGAGGCTTGGATTTGCCAAGGATGAAGAGGTTGCAAAAATGAACAAAGCTTTTGTTGAGATGGCAAAAACTTTTCACTAGGACATGGATAGATGATATCAAGGACTTCTTGGGGTAGATTCCTGAAGAATTGTGGGAACTACAATAAAACTGTAAAGCTGAAGAAGAAGAAGAAAAAAAGAAAACTTCAGAATAAAGAAAAGAATAACCTCCAACAAAATACAAAGTGAAGTGTTTGCTAGAACCTTTCATAGACTCAACAACACCTTTAAAAGGTTTAAAAACAGGTCTCCAATACCAAAAGGCTTTCAATGATAATTGGGAATAATTTGGAAATAATATACAATGGAGAGAATATGTATGTCTTCCAAAAGTTTATATGCTGAAACTCTAATCTTTGATGTGATAATATTTGAAAATGGGGTTGGTGGCAGGTATTAGGTTATGAAGGTGGAGCACTCAGGTATGAGCACTGATAGTTTCCTTTTTTTTTTTTTTTTTT